TCAGTTTGGCTATTGGGACCTCCAGGCACACTTTTCACTTCAAAGTAATAGCACTGGCTCCGGGGTCTTCCCTGTGGCCACTGGGTCTCCCAGGGCAAACTGTAGGTCCTTAGTCTGGTCCTTGCTTTGCCCTTTTGCATGCTCAGTGTCAGCACCCAAGTGTGGGGTGGGGTGGGGTGGGTGCTCCATTGCTGTAGGTCACAGACTAAGTGTCAGTCCAGAGTCTGGAATTTTCTTTGGGGGACTGGAGGACTGTGGTAGTATCAGAAATCCCCCTCTGTGTGTGTGTGGGGGGGAGTAGGTGGTGCTTGCCTTTAATCCCAGCACTTGGAAGGCAGAGACAGGCAGATCTCTGTGAGTTCGAGGTCAGCCTAATCTATGGAGTGAGTTCCAGGACAGCCAAGGCTACACAGAGAAACCCTGTCTTGAAAAACCTAAAAGAAGAAGAGGAGGAGGAGGAAGAGAAGGAGGAGGAGGTAGAAAAGAAGAAGAAGAAGGAGAAGGAGAAGGAGAAGGAGGGAAGGGAAGGGAAGGAAGGAAGGAAGGAAGAAAGAAAGAAAGGCGAGCGGTGGTGGTGCACACCTTGATTCCCAGCACACGGGAGGCAGAGGCAGGTGGATCTCTATGAGTCTGAGGACAACCTGGTCTACAGAGCTAATTCCAGGGCAGCTAGAGCTACTACACAGAGCTCAAAAAAGTTACTATTTACTACCTGGCTCAAAAAAAGAAGAAAAGAAAAGAAAAGAAAGAAAGAAAGAAAGAAAGAAAGAAAGAAAGAAAGAAAGAAAAAAGGAGGAAAGAGGAGGAGGAGGAGGGGTCCTCTCTCTGCTATATTCAAGTTCTGTGTCTCTAAGTGAGTGGAAGGAAGGAAGAAGATTGGAGCTACTCCGGGGTCAGGAAGGCCAGCTGGGAGTAGAGAAGCCTGGAACACTCCATGAGAATCAGACGTAGAGTTTCCAGGTGACCTGCCTGGCTTATGCTGCCCTCTGAAAGCATGGGACAGTTAGTCATCACACGGAAAATGGAAGCCAGAGGGACCGTGCTGGAGTTCACGCCAGGCTGTGTGCTGTTCATGCCTAAACTTGGCCTTGAAGTACCTGATGGATCCAAAATTTGGCTGCATCCAGACCAACTGATCAGACCCTCCAGCAGGGGGACCCAGGAGACAGTATTTTTAAGTGAGCATGGTATACAACCAGGGGGAAACAGAGACCACTGACTGAGATAGCAGTTTGTAAACTAGTCGGTGGGACACGGGTCCCTTTGGGTCACCACATGGCTTGGTCTTCATCGTATCTGTGGAGGGAAGCTGTCAGCGCCCTGAGCAGGGGGGTTAAAGCCCACGCCCCAACCACCTTGCCACCTGCACACTTGAGCTATTTACTGTGGAGCTGGCTGCGTTGCTTAGGTTGGGTTTTGTGATTTGGAGATGAACTCTCACATAGCCAGGCTGGCTTAGAACTTGCCATCTAGCTGAAGATGACAGGTTTTGGCCTTTTGCCTCCACTTCCCAAGTGCTGGGAGCTGGCAGTATGCACCCCTCTGCCCCTGTTTCATGATGTCACCCAGGCCACCCTGGAACACACAGCAATTTTCCTGTATTGGCCTCCTCCATGTCGGGATCACAGGGGGGCGCCATCACACTGCCTTGTTTTGCTTTGGTTTGACTCTAGCCCTCTGTGCCCATGAACAGCCTATTTTTCTTTTGTTGTGATTCTCATGTTCCATTGTTGCCCTGACCCTCTGTCCAGGAGGCATCATACACACAGGTTGAGGTCTTTGTCTTTGTTCTTTGCTGTGTCCTAAGCAGCAAGTGGCATGTATTAGTCATAAACCACATGGAGTGAATGAATGCATGCATGCATGAATGAATGAATGAATGAGTGAATGAATGACTTCCTGTATCTGGTACCCCTGTCAGACACTAATCAACAGGGCTGGTCCCATTGCCGCCATCCCTGCTCTGTTTGTGGTTTGCTGTCCTCTACCCCGAGCTGCTCACCTGTTGAGCTGCTTCTGTCCCCCAGGTCCCCCGAGTCCCACAGGTCCCCCTTTGTCTCTTCCTTAGGCCACACCGTCCGCGCCACTCCCTTAGATCTGCAGGATTGGAGCCCTGGCAGGTGAGAAGCAGAAATGTTTCACGATTTCATTTGGAATCCTTCTCAGATGAAATGTCAGAAATATTAGCGAGGCAGAGCCGTAAATCTGATCCTAATACAGCATAGAGCTTATTAATGAAGAATAAATCACGGCGGGAAGCCTCCGCGGAGTGCTCTCGGGGCCCAAGGGAAGCTGGCATATTTATGAGAGCGCCGATCGGGCCCTTCGATTTCTCAGATAGATGGCCAAGTCAGATCTGTCAGGGCAGTAGCCTTAACATCGGCCAATTATAGTTTTTTTCTAGTAAAAATTAATCTGTTCTATAGAAATTTCCTAAGCATTTATTGGATTAGGAACCCATCCAAAATATAGAAGATTAAATACACACTCTACGTACACAGGAGCCCACACCACTTGGCTAAAACAGGCTGAGAACTCCCTCCTACCCCGAGACACCCTTCCACAGAGAAAATCAGAGTGAAGATACCCTCACTGCACGGCGAGGGATCCCGAGGCTCAGAGAGAGGGTGGCCCCCACTAAGGCCATGGATGGCTCAGGCTGATGTGAGACAAGGACCCCCAAAGATATCCACAACCCAACCTGGTACCTGAGATGGCAAGAGAGGCCCCCTCGGTGTGGTCAACGGAGGTTATTCAGTCAGGTGTAGTAGCACACACACCTGTACTCCCAACATTGAGGAAGCTGAAGCAGGAGGTTTATGAGTTCTGGGTCAGTTTGGGCTATATGGTAAGGACCCGTCTCAAAACTTCTCCCGCCGAAAACCTGACTGTTAAGACAAGATTACCCATGGTGATTAAAGGGATCTCAGAAAGAACAG